CATATGAATTATGGAAAGGTTATCCTCCATCCTACCATTACTTGAAAGTATGGGGGTGTTTGGCTAAGGTTGAGGTACCTAAGCCTAAACAAGTGAAAATCGGTCCTAAAACGATAGATTGCATATTTATTGGATACGTCAATAATAGTAGTGCATACCGATTTCTTATACTCAAATTTGAAATACAAGACGTACACGAAGGGACCATAATCGAATCAAGGAATGCGATATTCTTTGAAAATATTTTTCCTTGCAAAGATAAGAAAAATATGAGTTCTAACAAGAAAGCATATGAAATTACCAATGGAACTTCAAATAAGGAAGAATCAAGGTGCAGTAAAAGGGCTAGGACTTCCAAGACGTTTGGTCCAGATTTTCTAACCTATATGGTAAATGATGATCCAAAGACTTTCAATAAAGCAATGTCTACACCGAAAGCACCGCATTGGAAAGAAGTCATCAATAGGGAGATAGATTCTATAATGCAAAACCATACGTGGGAGTTAGTTGAATTACCTCCCGGTAACAAGCCTTTAGAATGCAAATAGATATTTAAAAAGAAATTGAAATCTGATGGATTCATTGATAAATATAAGGCCAGATTGGTTGCTAAAGGATATAGGCAAAAAGAAAGACTTGACTTCTTTGATACCTACTCACCCGTAATTAGAATCACGTCAAGGTTGTTAATTGCAATTTCGATAATACATAATCTTAAAATTCATCAAATGGATGTAAAAACAGCATTTCTAAACGACGAGTTAAAAGAGGAGATTTACATGTAGCAATCTGAAGCGTTCGTTTCTTCTAACAAAAACATAAAAGTGTATAAACTTGTTAAGTCCTTGTATAGATTAAAACAAGCTCCTAAACAATGGTACCAAATGTTTGACAAAGCAATGTTGTCAAATAGATTCAAGATCAACGAATGTGACAAATGTGTATATATTAAACATACACCAAATGCCTATGTAATTGTATGTCTATATGTGGACGATATGTTAATAATGGGCAATAGTCATGAAATGTTACTTAACACCAAAAGGATTCTAACAAAGCATCTCAATATGAAAGATATGGGTGTGGCCAATGGGATTAAAATCTCTAGAACGCAAGATGAAATTGTATTTGCACAATCTCACTATATAAAAAAAGTATTTAAGAAGTTTGACGTGTTTGAGGAAAGTCCTGCGAGAACTCCTCTTGATGTGAGTATGCACTTAGTCAAGAATATGGGAGAAAGCATATCACAATTAAGATATTCACAAATAATTGGCAGTCTTATGTATATTACAAACTGCACTCAACCGGATGTTGCTTTTGTAGTAAATAAACTTAGCAGATTTACATGTAATCTAAACAATGATCATTGGAATGCTTTGACGAAGGTTCTAAAGTACTTGAAGTATACCTTAACCTATGGATTACACTTCACAAAATATCCTGCTATACTAGAAGGATATTGTGATGCGAATTAGATATCTGATATGAAGGATTCCAAGTCCACTAGTGATTATGTATTCATCATTGGTGGAGCTGTTGTATCATAGAAATCAACAAAGCAAACGTGCATAGTTTGATCAATAATGAAATCTGAGTTTATTGCTTTGGACAAAGCTGGAGAAGAAGCAGAATGGCTTCGAAATTTCTTAGAAGATGTTCCATGTTAGCCCACGTCGGTACCTGGGATAAGTATACATTGTGATAGTCAATTAGAAATTGGAAGGGCTCGAAGCAGCATGTCTAATGGTAAGTCTAGACATATTCGTCGTAGACACGGCACCATTAGGCAGTTGATCTCAAATAGCGTTATCTCCATAGATTATGTGAAATCAAAGGAGAATATTACGAATCTATTTACAAAAAGTTTGTCTAGAGATCAAGAACGTTGCCTATCGAGAGGAATAGGATTAAAGTCTACTACATAAGAGTTTTTGCAATGGTAATCCTACTTTGTTGACTGGAGATCCCAAGATCTTGGTTCAAAGGGACAACTAAGTTGTGAAAATTCCATGAAGCACTTAGGAAATTAGAATTTCTAACTCATTCTTATGATACTAAGGTGCTTTCGACAGAATGGATAGAAGTTAAGATTATCTTTTAATGATTCCTATATCTTGATTAAGTCAATTGAAGTAGGGCAGAATCCTTTTAATAGGAGGTCACCTGTGTAAGTGTGAAGTGGAGCCGCTTCGATGAGAATTGTTTAAGGCTTGAATTCTCTAAACACTTATGAAACCAAGAAGGGTTCAGGGCTAAAATGAACTAAGTACAGAATAGGGTAGATATCTATGTGAGTACTTTTGTCTTGGCTTACACCAAAAGCTGAGTGGTTCAAAACCTATGGTTCACCAATTAGCCGAATAAGTTTGATAGTATTTCACTAAGGGAAGTTCAAGGCCAAAAGCCACCATCCTTGATATAGTATTTTTTTTCGCTCCCTTTCTACATTAGATCATATCATCGCATTTACATATGCGTACCCAATTGGAATTGGTTCAAATAAATAACTGAAAATTGAAAAATGAAAAGGTGTGTAAAAGTAGAAAATGAAAAGGTGTGACTTCGTATTAACTTCAACCAAATATTCAGACTTGATCTGATGGTCAAATTACAAAAGTAAATAAACCAATTCCGGATGAATGAGAAATTGCGGCCAAATTTGGAAGAAATGAAGTTTGTAACCTTTTGAAAGGATGCAGATTTTGACCAAGTGTTGCAACTTTTCGAAAGGATGCATGTTTTGACTCACATTACTTCATTTGCACCCTTTCTACGTCTATAAATAGGACCCTATGAACATGATTTTGGATACACAATTGCATTGAACATTCATTCTCCTCTTGCAATTATCTTCTTTCTATTTCTATAGCATTTTCATGCATTTCCTTTATAAAGGGAAAATTCTGTCAAAAATTCGCCGGTTTCTTGTGGTTTGAAGTGCTGCTACCACAAGTTATGAATCCATTGTATTTTAGGAGACAAATGTCATTCACTGTGAATACCATAGCGGGGCAATTTGTCTTGAGGAAAGAGAGAACGTCTTACCTTCGATTATTCTCTATTTTCTACTCCTTAATTCTTATTTTGTGTAATCATTTACCACATTATATATACCGAAACTCTGTCCGAATTTTCATATAAATTGTGTTTTGATCACGCTCCTGTGGGTTAAAATTGGTCGAACAAATATATCAAAAACCAACCCTTACATAGCTCGTTTCTCTAAGTCGTCTCCAACACTTCGTCATTTCACCCTGTTCAATACATGCGAGTTCGTTTTCAAACCATTGAAGATACGGACATAAAAATTAAAATAAAAGATATCACGCTTTCTAGGACAAATAACCTCGTAGGTTCATCCAACTTAAAAAAAAAAACAAAAACAAACAAAAAATTACAATTTAATCAAACCATTATTTCACTGTTCATCCAACTTTAAAATGCTTCGCTCATTTTTGAGATGTTGCACTATATCCATCATCAACCACATTTTGTTCCTTTTCATTACTAATGTATCACACAAAAATTTCACGTAACAAGTTATAATCGTTAAAAAATTTACAGCTCAACCAAACTATCAACTCCCAAAATCACCATATGTAAAACGCGACGTCCACAACCCCATAAAACTTCTTTAAAACCCAATAAAATGTTCCCAATTTCAATCCTAAAAAACTAGCCCCCAATTCACCAAGGTACAACTAAATTGTGTAATAAGACGAGCTAATTATTAAGAAGGACGTGAGAAGTTACTAACTATAAAATCATATCCCCCAATTGTACCATCTACTCGACGTCTCTTTCATATCAATCTTCAATTTTTGCAATCGCGTATCCAACTAATTGAGGAAATAAACTCCTTCGGTTTGTGTACGACTAAAAATACCTTCTGAACTGTGTTGGTGTTTATTGTTCTTCGTTCATCAATTTGGTTGAAATTCTATGACGTTTCCTTGCTCAAAGTCTAATAATGTTTGAGAATTTATAATATCAATATCTGTTATCATATCTATGTCTGTTCCAAAAGGTATTTCATATTTTGAGATACTTTTCTTTCTTTTTTCCAATTTATCTATTATATCTTGTATATCTTTTATGATTATTGACCTTACAATTCCTTTAGCGAAATTTTCTAATAAGTTTTCTTTAAAACATTTTAATATTTCTTGTGATGCATATAATTGTTCTTGATATCCTATCTTATCAATTTCTTTTTCAAATTTAATTTCTTTTTTATTTTTAACAACCTTTTTTATATTATATGGTCCTCTCTTATATTTGGGCTTTTCCATTTTATAATTATTCATTAATAATTTTTACAAATTTTTAGAAAAATTATTTGTTAGATTTTTTAAGGACTGAAAAAGAAACTTTTTATTATATAAAGGGTTGGTTGTTAAATTTTTCCAAGGATATTTTGGGTAGTTTCAAATTTCTAAAAAAGTCAAAGGCCATTTTGGAAAAGGTTATTTACTATTTGGGCCATTTTCATGTATATCCCAGGAAAGCCACGCTTTAATCATGAAGTGATTTCCTGCCTAAACTCAATATCACTTTAATAGAAAAATGATGTATGTCTTTTCACACATGTATTAATAATATAAATATATGTATTTTTTATTTTTCAAAATAATTAGTTTTAAACTAAGCCCTAAATTGATAGAGTCTAAAATTCAAAATTTAATTTAAGTCAAAATCAATAATTAATTTTAATCATACATTTCTTGAAACCTACAACTTTCAACCACACATTTTATCAACTCCTATCAGAATTTCCAAAAAAAATTTGATTTTAATCCGTACCAAACAAGGGCTAAATTATTTTATTTGAGGAATTAGTTAAATTTTATATTACTTAAATAAACTAGACCATCAAATTATTATGCACGCAAATACTAATCCACACAATTTGCTAATAAATTGATGCAAATCAAGATACAAGTCATAATTGAAAATTGAAGAAAAATTATTAACACGTAACTGACAAATTGTACAAGTTTAATGAATTCAGCAAGCAAAAATATTAATTATAATAATTTTCCAATGAAATATGGTGATTTTCCACTACACTCTAACCAATCCAAACATCAAATTCCAATGTAAGGCATATGTTTATTATTCTTCCCTAAACAAAACATTCGTATCAAACCTCACTGAAGCTGAACACTTCAATGGATGACAATAATTTGATGCAGAAGAGCCAACTTGTCCTACAAAATGCAGTAGCATCAGCACCCCTGAGCTTGGAAGAATTGTTGATTCCTACTAAAAGAATACAAGAACCTCGTCTTTACAATTCGGACAGAAATATCCTCCGATGACAACCTAACCACCAAAAATGCATCAAGTCATTTGCAGCAGTTGAAAACTAGCCCCCAATTCACCAAGGTACAACTAAATTGTGTAATAAGACGAGCTAATTATTAAGAAGGACGTGAGAAGTTACTAACTATAAAATCATATCCCCCAATTGTACCATCTACTCGACGTCTCTTTCATATCAATCTTCAATTTTTGCAATCGCGTATCCAACTAATTGAGGAAATAAACTCCTTCGGTTTGTGTACGACTAAAAATACCTTCTGAACTGTGTTGGTGTTTATTGTTCTTCGTTCATCAATTTGGTTGAAATTCTATGACGTTTCCTTGCTCAAAGACTTGGATACATGTCTATAGAAATGGAAGTTTGGATTAGAGCTGATGATATAATTGGGGGATATGGCTGTCTAAGTAGTAGCTTCTTGCATCCTTTTCAATAATTGACTATCTTTTATTACACAATTTAGCTATACGTGATTAAGATGAATGAATTGGGAGCTAGGGCTTTTCAGGGCTAAAAGTGGGAACACTTTATTAGGTTTTAAAGAAGTTTATGGAGCCATGGAAGTCACAATTCATATATGATGATTTCGGTGAGTTAATAGTTTGACTGAGTTATAATTTTTTTAATGATTGTAACTTGCCGTGTGGAATTTTTATGTGATATATTATCAATGGAGGAAACAAAATATGATGTATGGAGTGCAATATCTTAAAGATAAGTAATTGCTGGGAAGTATTTTAAAGTTTGATGAGTAAATTGTGATCAAGTGTAAGTTAGATGGATAATGAAACAATGATTTGACTAAATTGTAATTCTTTAAAGATTGTAAGCTATCATGTGAGATTTTCAAAACAATTAAAAAAATATGTTATTCTAGTTTAACAGACTTCCTGCCACCATCTCACAATGAATGTTGGATATCTTTAAGATTTTAATATATTTTTCTCTTTTCTTTTCCTTTCAACCACATATTCTTTAACAAAATAATATTACCCATAAATAAAAAAATAAAAAAATCCCTTTTTTCTTTAACTACACATTCTTCAAAAAAAAATATTATTCCATAATACATTTTACCAAAATTTTTGTTTATAATAAGTGTCAAATAAGTGTGAAATTGAGACTGAAGATGTATCAATACCGAGAAATCAAAACAATAAAATAGTAAGGAAAGGTACCAAACAAGGGCTAAATTATTTTATTTGAGGAATTAGTTAAATTTTATATTACTTAAATAAACTAGACCATCAAATTATTATGCACGCAAATACTAATCCACACAATTTGCTAATAAATTGATGCAAATCAAGATACAAGTCATAATTGAAAATTGAAGAAAAATTATTAACACGTAACTGACAAATTGTACAAGTTTAATGAATTCAGCAAGCAAAAATATTAATTATAATAATTTTCCAATGAAATATGGTGATTTTCCACTACACTCTAACCAATCCAAACATCAAATTCCAATGTAAGGCATATGTTTATTATTCTTCCCTAAACAAAACATTCGTATCAAACCTCACTGAAGCTGAACACTTCAATGGATGACAATAATTTGATGCAGAAGAGCCAACTTGTCCTACAAAATGCAGTAGCATCAGCACCCCTGAGCTTGGAAGAATTGTTGATTCCTACTAAAAGAATACAAGAACCTCGTCTTTACAATTCGGACAGAAATATCCTCCGATGACAACCTAACCACCAAAAATGCATCAAGTCATTTGCAGCAGTTGAATTTGCATATGTCAACTCAGCCATGTGCTGGAGATGGGATTCATTGTGTATCATTTCTAGACATCCTGACAAAAATACCCACCCGACTTTTCAATTCAGATGATATTCGTATCAATACATTCCCTTGAAAACAGGGTTTGTACGGCATATGCTCGCACCATATTCCTCGTATTCTGCCTTGGTATGGCAAGCCTAAGTACAGCACAATAGATTAGTCTAGTACCCAAAATGGTAAACAGAAAGAGAAATAAATACCCGATTAGAGTATACATTCAAGATTTAACAAGTAAATTGCCCAATTTATTGAATGCTGAGTATGATTGATACATGAACAATCAATGAAGTATCTCAAAAAAGAAAAAGCCATCCCCCCCCCCCCCCCCCAAAGCCTCTTCCACTCCAATAAAAGAAATAAAAACACGAGAAATCATGGGGCTGCAGTAATAGCATTTCTTCATCAAGATGTTTTTCAACAGCATACAAAGTGTATATGGAACAGAAATCTTTCTTCAATTTATGTGTACTAAACATCACCTCGAGAACCCGATCCAAAATTGGTGGAACAGAAATCTTTCTTCAGCAGATGACGATAATGGAGAAATTCCTTTTAATATTCCATTTGGAACTCAATGACTTGGTTCAACTTTTGGGGTTAAGCAAAAATGGTGCATGTGGTTCAACTTTTGAGGTTAAGCAAAAATGGTGCATGAAAAGAATAGTTTCTTAAAATATTGTCATACGTAGAATTTTTTTGCCAAAACAGTAAATAAATCAACACAAATATAGGTCCAAAGAGCCATCTGTGTGATCACAAAGACGAAGAAAATCTGGACTCTAGACAGAGGGAGTTGATTATTTATTAAATTAAAGAAAACATTTCAACACTCATGGGAAAATAGTAAAATTTGAAACTATGTTCAAGTGTTAGATGAAGGCCCTGTTTGAGCCCCACTGATTTGAATCTATGTCAAGACTCAAGTGTTAGATGAAGGCCCTGTTTGAGCCCCATTTTTGGGGAAAAATAGATTTTAGAATGGTGATTTTTAAGAGAAAGTGTAGTTAAAAAGTAGGGAAAAGTTAAGTGTAAAATTATTTGTGGGAGAATGTGTGATGGAAAATGAATTTTAGAACAAATGAGTTTTTGAAAAAAAATGGAGCTCAAACATAGGCGAAGTAACAAGGACAAAAAAAAAACGTTATTAATGATACATTAAGCTCTTTTGTATATAGAAATATAGTTGAGATGTGCGTATGGACTGAGCTTTGTTACACTTGAACTCAATATGGTCGTAGATACTACAATAACTGGTACAACGTGTTGCATAATCAAAATATATATATGAATAAAGATATGTTCAATCTTGAGAAAAGTAAGCGTAATATACCACTCACTGTAACTGTGAAAAACAAAAAATCCATTCTAATCAGCAGTTGCCATGAGATTTAACTGGTAAAGGGGATGTATACAGTGGACGGAAGGAAAACGCTCCTCTTAATTAAGTAGCATATCATAGAATTTAAACCAGATCAATTGTCCGCCGCCTCAAAACTCCAGTTACAAGGTTAGCTCTGGAAATTTCGATAGTTCAACTTTATTGAAGTATCTATGTTATGTTATTCTGCCACAAGAGGAATATTTTATCAAAAATGGGGGGAAATTTAAAAGAATCACTCTGATGATACTTTAGCTTTTTATTTGTGTAATTTGGAGAGATCAATGGGGACAACTGCCCCAGAATCAACAGTGAACATCAACCCTTGCAACAGAAAAGCTCGAGAAGAAATTATCCGATACAGAATTGCAACAGACAAAAAGAGAGTTTGTTTTTATTCCTTATAAGAATAGGACACGTACTATTTGCACAATTGGTACAAGTTAACCTGTTTCAAAAACTAGGCATTACCAATATCAAAATGTATTTGGGGTGCAAACTGCCCAGAATTGATACTAAAGAAATTTTGCAAGCAGACTTGTAGTTTTCCATAAACTTTCATCACTAAAGACAGCCACAAAATATTTTCAAGTCAACTTATGCACCAATGATGGTTTAGGGTTCAAGAGTGAGCTAATCTAGAATATTTGGCATTGCGATCATCCCAAAAAGAAAAAAGAAGAAGACTAAAGAGAAGCTAAACTTTGAATACCTTGAAAAACTCAGGAGTAGATGCAAGTACTGAGCCTCCAAACCAAACTGCGTATCTCTGGATAGGATGGCTGAGAACATTTACTTCCACTGGTTGTGCCTGGGAATTAGAAGGAGAAAAATTTGTTCAGTCAGCAATTCGATGTGCTAACAACAAGGGCCCAACTAGCACAAAAGTATGATCATAATATTGGTTATGTTCTCACTTTCACTTCTCCACGAATCCGAACATCTGACGATTGAAACCGAGCATCAACAATCTTTTTTAGATCCCGTTGCAGCCTTCTGTTGAAGTCCTTGAACATGGTTGATCCTCCAGATAATACAATATTCTGAATTTAAACATAGATGCATGCTACTCGTCATTTTTCAAAAGAAAAGAGAAATATACAGAACAAAATCAAGCAACAGTGGAAACAAATTGTGCATGTAGTTCATAAAATGATTCATGACACCTTATACAAGGCCCTTCTTGTATCTATAGGCGCAGACTGAATACATTTGTCTATCACATCTGGTAAGGGGGTTATAAAATCACTGCTATAAATCTCAGGGTTAAAGAAGACCTGCACATCAAGCCAATTTCATTATCAGAAATATTTTGCACTCGCAGCAAGAACAAAGAGCAGTTCAACTCTGTCACAATTTTTCAGTTATTGAAACAAGTAAAGCCAATGCAAAATCTCAGCTGCAAGAAAATATTCGTATTAATAATGCCTTTAAGACCAATGATTGACATATTATGACTACAAATATGCTCCCTTAACCATTCACAGGGATTTATCAATAGAGTGACAGTTTAGAAGTGTACCGACAAGCCATTTCATTTAATAATTTTGTAAAAATAAGATGTGGTAATAAATGAAATACGCTGTTTGATAATCAAGAGCTTAGAATCCAAAAGGAAAGCAAACCTCAGGGCCAAGAAATCGTTCATAGCCAATATCACAAGAATATGGAGCCCCAGTCTTTGGCTTAGTACCTCTCCATTGCTTAATGAATTTTGCTGGCTCTTTGTCATGTTTATTGAACTCCTGAGAGAATAGAAGAAGAAAGATTACTTATCCTATAAACATGTAAAATCAAAAGAAGAAAATTCAAAACTTCTAATGGTGGAAGCAGACAGCTGATGCATCCGAACAAAAGGGAACACAAATTTCTGCTTCTTTAGATTCTTCATTCTCAAAAACTGTAGTGTGTGAATGGCGATAGGTGGGGTGGCAGGGGCATCTGGCCCTAGTTCTGAAGTCAAAAGTCTGTGGAACTAGTACCTTTACAATATCAGAACAAGTATAGCAGTACATTTCCTTCACTTTCCGGGCTACTTCCAAAGACTCCTCAGGTGGAACATGTTCTCCTCTTTCCTATGTAGAACAATATGAGAACAGCAAGTCAGTAAGAATGGAAAATATAGGAATTGTAGGTCATTACAGTTTCGCCCATAATCCATAAAAAATAATAATAAATAAATAAATAAATAAATCCTTTCTCCAAAAATTTGAAGAAATAGCATATCAAATTTGAAAAACCATCTTGTTCCTAATGTTATTTCCCCAGAAACCAGTCGTTGAAGTGTTTTAAAGCAAAGGGAGAATGAACTGCAGAAGCCTATAAGAAAATAAGGTGTTATTGGGCTTTTAATTTAGAGTAGTTTGCATAAATCATGGAAAGGTCTAATCAATAATAATAGAAATAGCACACCATTTCAATTGCTCGTGTGAAGGATTTTCACGTCACCACATTAGAGTCCTGCCCATGCAAAAAAGTTGTTGACAATGATGTAGAAACCTCTTTACTTTAATTTTCAACATTTGCTTCCAAATATTAGAAAACTGAAGTAGCAAGTGAAGTTCATAGTTCTGAAGCATGCAAGGTATCATCGTATAGCTCTGTACAAAGTACAGCTAGGTGGAAAAGAATGTAAGACTCAAAAATGAAGAACGGTTCCTCTTCTCTAATATCGTATAGAGAATTCCTTCAACAAAAAGTAAGAGCTACATAATAACAGCATCGAATTCTTTCCCCCACCCCCTATCAAGCACCCTTTCCCCCTTCCAACAAGGACCTAATTATGTGGAAACCATAAAACATAAAATATTAAGAGAACATACTTGCATGAGCTGCTGTATGAAGTGAGTAACATCTTTCCCAGCAACTGGAATCGACTTAATGCTGCTCCCAATAACGTAACCATCTGCAACAGGTACAACATGAGTAGCCCCATCTCCAACATCCACAACTACTCCTGTCATCTCACACTAAGAGAAAGTGTTGAACTATAAGATAAGTGAGGATAATATTTCTGTCACGATAGAGAGTAGTCGATACAGAGCTTAAAAATATTTACAAAAGTCCGTTCTAATGTCTATGATCTCATTTTTTGATCGGTAGAAATTAAGCAATTTAATAAAATAATTAGTAATTAGATTTTAGAAGCTCCTGAATGGCTGTCAACAACAAAGTAATCATTTTAACAGAATAGGTAGAATTATTAAAATATGAGAATGGAAAATAAACCCCTTATATTCCACATGTCTAGCAAACAGCAAAGGAACACAATGGAGAAAGATTAAAAGAAAAGATTAATTCTTGGAAACTATGCACATCTTGCATAAGGTATCAGGCAAACAAATTTCCCGGTGTTTCTTCTTTTCATTTTATCTTATTTAGCGGGCGGTTCTGAAGAAGAACAGTGGCAAAGCCTTAAAGAACTAAATAGATAATAAATAACCTTCATATACTTGGTGCATTATAAAAATAATTGGGACCTCTAACTCACTAGGATGAATTTATTTAATATCTCCTAATCCAACAGATATGATACACGTACAGTACATACATAAGTGCTTGAAATGAACAGATTTCTGTTCACAAACTGAACTTGATGCTCTTGTACATATCTTAAGTCATAACAATGCTTAGCAAAGTTTGATCTCCATAGGCTAGAAAGATGAGATGAAGATCACATAAAATACGAGTACCTAAGAGTTCTTATGTTGTGAACTATTTAGTATCTCCAGACAAAAGATCTCTCGAGGCACTGCTGTTAATAGCCTTTGGCTAAAGAAACTAAATGGTGGAGAACAAAAATCATAGGAGCATAGAAACAAGGATGCAACAGAGGTGAGATTGTTCTTATATTCCTTCATCAGTATCTATTATCTATTATTACTAGTAAAATATCAAGTCTGTAATTAGTTCTGCAATCAGCCATAATCGCCTCTCTTAACCACGTCTTTAAAGAAACTATTATACATTAGAACTATATCTATATGCATCTCAATGGGCAATCCATATGTCTTACCATTAATACACACAATGTTCAATTTGCATAAACTTCTATAAAAGTTAAGACAACTCCAGAATCCCCACAAGCAATTATACATGATTCAAATGTAAACTTCCCATCTTTAACATTAGAATTTAATTCTTCAAACACCTAGGTAATCAGATCACAAAAAGTCCATCATAAAATGTTTCAAAGCAGAAATGAAATTGAAAAATATGATTTTCAATACTATGTAAAATATTGCCAAACCTTGGATGTAGTGTACCCTGCAGCCAAAGCAAGCACAGGCTGCACAGCGATATAAAGCCCTGGAACATTAAAAGTTTCAAACATAATCTCTCCCGTGTATTCCCGACTTTCCGGCGAAGTCAACGGGCTTTCAGTCAACAAAAAGTAATGATCCTCTGGATCACATCGCAAATAATTATATATACACTGCTGCCAGAACCTTTCCATTGCATCCCAATTATCCACTTGACCGTGCTTAATGGGATAGCTCAAATTATAAGTGCTACTAGATTTAGATCTAGCCAGGGCTTCTTCCCCTATATAGAAATCCAGATCCGCCATCACCCCCGCGCTATGCTGCGCTAACCAATTGCTGCCCTTCGTAGAACTGGCCCGCGGCTGGTTGACAAATGACTCATTAACAGCAACTACAGTGGGAAGTATGAAAGACGGTTCAACATTTCCTGCGAAACCCATTTTCGTATACCTGAAAGTAAATATACCCAGATAAAAAATGTTTAGAAAAATAATTCTTGCGCACCCCAGTTTAAGTTGACTTCACATGGAATTTCATCGAACAGCTTGTGGATATTAAAAAAAAAAAAAAAATGGAAGAATAAAAAGTTAAATAAGTACCCAGTGCCATTATCGATTACTACAGCGGGACGAGAGCTGGCAGCGTCCATGGGAAAGAGGGAAGGAAAGCGTAAACCTAATCCGAAGCTGAGACTTAAAAAGGGGTTTAAGAAGGGTGGTGATCATGGTAGCTGAAATGGAAACGACGGCGTTTGGTGGCAGTGAATCTGACTCAGATATCTTGGGTTGGTGGAAGAGAAGAAAACGGTGGAGGGTGTGAGTTCAATTCCATCCATTTCATTGTTGGGTCATCAAATCGTGATTATTACAGTGAGTTTCTGCGCGCGAAGTGTTGCGTGTTCGATGAAATTCCTTTCTGGGATTCTTTGCTTTGCAATTAGCCGAAGGAATGATTCAAAATTGTGGGGGTTTTTCTGGGATTTTGGGACAAAAAAAAAAAAAAGAAAAGAAAAATGCAATCTTGGATGCTAAAGTGCGTTTGGTTGTCGGTTCAATAGGGTGTTAGCAGAGGCAAAGTGGGCTGGATCTGATTTGGACTGCTGCAAATGGTGCTAAAAGATTAAGGAAAAATTGCAAGCTGGGGTCTCTAACCTTTTAAAAAAGTATAAAAGGATCCCTAGCCTTCAACTTTTGATATCTACAGTACAAACCTTTTAAAAAAATAGATAATTAAAGGGTTTTTAGACAATAATTATATTCACACTATAATTTTTTATTTGCATCACGTTTCAATTGTAGTGTAGGTTCTATTTCTTCAATTTTTTTTGTACCTTCTTATCATTATTGTTCAATTAAGTTAGCACATCTAATCTGTGATGATGATTTTTGTCCAAAGTGCATGAGAATGAGAAGTAGACATCTTGTCTTTTAGTTTGCTTATTCAAAAATACAAGAGGCAAGCAAGTCCTGTGAGGCATTCCTAACATAATTTTTGGACCGAAATCATCATCAAAGACAAAATGTGCAAATTAATAAAATATTAAGAATAATAATGTGAGATCAATGCAAAAAATGAAAAAAGTGTTAAAAGTGTTCATTGCAATTAAAATATGATTTAATTAACACAAAAGTGAGTGTGAATATAAATTACCTTATAATTTAAAAGAAGCAAAAAAATTGTCTTTCTTAGCATTCAATCCCAACTTGTGGTCCCACCCTGCCAATGAACCAGTGCCGATTCTATAATTTTCGAGGCTTGAGACGATTATCATAAATTAAGCCCCAAAATTTTAGTATGCATGTAAAATCTGTAAGTGTATTATTGAGTTAATAGTTAACTTATTAATTTAAAATTTAACAATAAACCAACAAATAAAATGTAATATACAAAATATTTATAATATAACCAAATAATAAAGCTGATAATATTTTAAACGACCGGTTAAATACTATTCATCTTGTGATTTGAGAGGAAAAACATCGTTGAAATTTGAATGCTCTACATGTTCAATCATTTATTTCTCAGTTGATAACGTAGTCAATAAATTCAATCTTCCTTGTGATATAGTTGATCAGAAATAAGATATGATTAACAAATTTTTGTAAGTAATATATAAACATTTCAGATGCCTTCAAATATTGTAGTATTTCAATTACTCTCATTGTTTAATTTAGTAAATAGCACCTCAAGACATGTAACTCAGAATATAAATCATCTCCATTAATATCCGAACGTCCATTATATTCTCAATATTTCTCAAGATTCATACAACGCTCCAACAAATTGAAAAATTTGTACGCCTTCATCTTTCCAAATTTAATAAAAATACAAATATCTCTTCATATTGTTTAAATTGTTGAAATATAGTCTTAAAGAAGACAGAATTTGATTTATTACAAAAAGGAAGTATTCAGCTTCAAAAGATTCTTCAACTGATTGATTTATCTAATCACTACTAATTTTGTCAAATTGTTTCCTTATTCAAATTATACTTTTTTTTATCAAAATGTATCTTCAATATCCATTTTACTTGTCCTTTTTGTCAGTTTATTCATAACAAAAGCAAATTCAATTTTTCTATAATTTTTGAGAAATAAAACAATTCCTTGTAAGATGTCGATAGCACCATTAGTATTCATGTTTTCGATTTTAAAAAAAATTATTTATAATATTGATTGCAAGCAACCACTTGAACCAGATTGCTATACTAGGCAAGAATTTAAAATTTTGAAGTTCATATATTGCTAAAAACTCGACTTTACTCTTTATTTAAGGATTTTTGTTAATTTTGCCAAGTTTGGTAAAATGTTTTTATTTTAAACAAATAAATCGAATACTACCTATATGATGAACAAGTTGAATAGAATTAAAAAATCACTGCAACACGAGTTTAAGATATCCTACGCCGCATGTCCTTTCCTGTTGTATTTGAAATGGACCTAATTTAAAAAAGAAATTTCCACAATGAAAACACATTATTGGCCCTTATTTATAAATGGAATGGAAATGACCTAAATTATCAAAGTTTTAATAAATAAAAAAATAGTAGTGAACCTAATTTACTAAAAAAAAAAAAAAAAAAAAAAAAAAAAAATGGAAATGAAATGAAATGAAATAGGTTAAAATCTAAGGTCCCCTCTCATGATAGACCTGAGGTGCGGGCCTCACTCGCCTCTATGCAAAACTGGCTATGCAATGTGTTGCACAAAAGCCTTTTCAGAACCCTAGCTTTCTAGCAAAATTAGGGATTTCTCCCCATGATTTCGCTTAAATAACAAAGGCAATAGATTTATAGATTTCAGCGTGGTAAGGAGGATGGGTAGGGAGAGATTTTTGGGGGTGTAGGAAAGTGGACGAAGTAAATGTGGTGCTATGTCGATATTGTGATTGCATCGGTGCAGCTGGTTGGTCTTGGAAGGGAGTTGGAGATATGAAAAAAAATTTCCTAATTTTTTTATCTCTTATTTATCTTCTTTTTTTTTTTTTTTTTTCAAATATTTTAACCTTTTCAAGTTAGAAAAGGGTATAAAGACCTTTTTTGCCATTCTGTAGAGCGAGCAATTGCAATTTACGTACTGAACTAATGAATTTTTGGACTATTACCATCCTAATGTCTGTCAGCCACATATTTTCCCAAATATTTGAAATAGCAAGCAAAACTTTAAAGGTTGGAGACCATGTTGAGTTTGCTGAAAAGGTTTGGGACACTAACTACAATTTTTCCAAAAACATACTTTATAGCATTTTCAAAATAAGCTCTTGTTCGAGCCACATTATTGGAATGAAAATGTATTTTTGAATAGCATATTGATGAGAAATGTGTAGTTAAAAATAAAGAAATATTTTGAATTTGCGTGTAATATTATTTTATTAAAGAATATGTGGTTGAATTATATAAAATCACTGTTAGATAATATATTTTCTCAAATAATGTGGCTCAAACAAGGCCTAAATAATATTATTTTGTTAGTTAGAGTTATAAATAAGTATTTTTTTACTTATAAGTAAAAATGGTAATTTGTTGGACATGGTTGTGTTATGGAATTTACGATAGGAAAGAAATGTAGCCTATTTCAAAATAATTGATCGAGAACCAACTAGCATTTTTTCAAAATTCCGCTAATTTTTTGATTGAATTATAAGGCAGCGAGATTATGTACACGGGGTTCTAGAGCTTGCTGCTTTTACAGTTAACAGAAATTGGCAACCTACATTGTAGAACAAGCTGAAGATAAATTTGTACTCCTGGCATGACCAATAGATCTTAATGTCTCTCACATCTACACAAGCCTAGTTTCTACACATTTAAACAACCATTAGTCACATGTGGCTTCCTTTGATGGTGGTGGAGTTGGCTGAGTGCACTCCAACCGTCATATTAGTTGAAGTAACAACATAAAAAGGAGTCGACTTTGTCGAGTGATAGAGCAAAGTTATAGTATGATAGTCAAAACTTGTATTACCTTCGGATGACACATTATATGAGTTTTTATAATAGAATTGGATTATCATTAACCATAGGATGAAAGTGTACGTGGCCTCATTTGTGTGGACGAGGCCTGTTGTCGAAGATGTCAATCATCCATGAGTATTAAACGTTAGTACCATTTTCTTGTCCCCAATATCTAGCATGTAAAATTTGACAGTGAATAGAAGTGCATGTTTATTTCATTGCCCCTTGAATTGTATACGTACATGACTCTAGCTTTAAATAATACACATGCCTAATTGATTACAACATTTGTTGTAACTAATTACAGATACATGTGGAATTGTGAAATGTTTAAAATTTAAACTTGAATATCCCAAATCACGTTGCTCCTATATGTTCAGTAGAAGATTCGGTCTCTTCAACTACCGTTGCTCCAATATGGCATAGGGTTTAGACTTGACATAATTGGCTGGATAGGGCGACTACGACAGTGAATTGTCACATCAATCACATACCAAGAATTGTATAAAAGATCTCCCGTCGAGTCCCTTCTGCATCCTCTCCATGACGAGAGTTCAATCCTTTGCAAAGGGGCCCACTCAATTACATGGGTTCGACATCCAAATTTGGTTCGACCTTTCCACATAGTTCGAGGTAGTTTGACGTGGAGTGTGGAGCTCAAGTTTGCTTACCATGTAGGATTTTCTAGAGGCTTGTTATGCGAGATGTAAGAGAAGGTTTGATCATAGATTGCATTCGAAGATTGTCATCCTCTTTTTCAAATATCAGTGTCAAGTAATTTGCGGAAAAACAAATGGTATTGCGTATGGCCTATTAAAATCAACTTTGTTCATTTCCTGAATAGTACTTGGAAAGATAGACATCCTAATTGTTGAAACCCTTTCTATTGATATTGAATTAAATGACGGTTCTTTGCTTTAAAAAAAAAAAAAGAATAAATAGTTAGCTTAGTCGAACGTGATTGTGATACAAACCGCAGGAATTCTTCTTTATCGTTTCTTTGGTAATTATGGACCAATGCCAACACGAATGCAACTTTTGCCGTTGGGTTTAATTTTTATCCTCAATAGTTTATTTATTAAAGTCAAATATTAATTCTAATTATGCATATTGTAGGATCCATAAGTTTACCACTTATTTGTCGCTCATTTCTAGGGTTGGGCAAATGTCCCGAACCGAATCGAACCGAACCGAACCCGACAGTTCTTGTCAAATTAAATACTCGAACGGGTATCTGAATTGAGAAATGACGGGTACGGTTCGATTCTCGGTTCTAGATCAAGAATAGAATAAGAACCGAATCTTTCTAATTTTTTTTTTGTATTGAATAAATCAAATTATTTTTATTTTAATTTTTTCTAAACAAATTAACAAATTAACAATTTCTAAATCCAAATTTTTGGTGCAATAATTTGTTTCATTTCTAATTTTTTTAATTTTTAGCCCATTTACCCATTTTATTGTTTCATTTCTTAGCCCAACAAGATCCAATCCACTAAATAACCCTAAACACATACACTAGAGTGCATAACGCTGTCTCGATTCTCGCACTCACTCTCGCAGTTTCACCGACATTCCAAAATCTATACAATCGTCGGTCGACGCTGTGACCTCTGATCGAAATTGTGACCTCCGTTGACCGAAACTTTGACCGTAGTGATCATTTGAACAAGGTAGTCTATTAGTCTCTGACATTCCAAAACCATTGAATGTGTCATTAGTTGTATTTATATATTGTTGTTATAAATGTTAAAAAATTTAATTATAGTACAGAATCGAACCGAACCGAACCGAACCGAACCCGAACGGTTCCATAATTATATTTGGACCCGATGGGTCCATTTACTAGATACCCAAAAATTTTGGTTCGGTTCTAAAGAGATTCGAACCGAACTGAACCTAGTCGATCCGCGCCCACCTCTGCTATATATATATGTGTGTGTGTGTGGTACTACAAAACAACAACAACCAAACAGAGGCTTTATGCGACTTTTGACAACTATTGAACAAAAAAATAATAGAATTTATTTATTAAAATGTCAAAATCATGTCTCATGTCATTACTCTACAATAAATACGTGCACAAAGACAACATAAAATCTAGGAAGAAATTTATCCAGCACAACAATCCTAAGTGTGAAGGGATATATAGAAAGCAGGAATTAACATGAACAGAGGAGACAATTTCTGTACAAATAAATTTAAAATCAATATCTACAGACTATAGTTAGGAATTAAAGTACACCAAAAATGAAAGGTAGGAGATCATACGTGCCATAAAATTATATTGTGTGTTTGAACCATATTATTTTTAAAAAATGTATTTTGAAATGGTAGGTTAATGAAGAATTTGTAATTAAAAAATAAGAAAAAGTTTTGAATTTGCGTGTAACATCATTTTATTGAAAAATGTGTGATTGAAATGATGTTAAATCACTATTTAAAATATTTTTTTTTTTCAAATAATATTGCTGAAACAGGGCCATATTCTTTTAGGGATCCCCAGACCGTTAAACTTGTGACACACCATGTCCTCAACCTTTATTTTGGCCCACTCCAGGGCCCAAGCTTTGGAAAATGTGCACATGACATCTCAATCGATGGAAACCATATATGTAGAGGGCAAAAGAACACTCATGATAAAATGAATAAAGGATATAATTATTGATACATAATTTTCTAGCACTTTGAATATTATTAAGTGGGTAATATGTCTTCTACTCTGAAAAATGCAAAATCTTTTTGGGTTTACATCTGTTCAATAATTATTCAAAGTAGAGAAATTATTTCTAGACAATTATATCCATAAATCGTTAATTAAAAGGGCGTTCGTTTTCCATTTTAGTAAAGATGAGAATGAAAAATATAGTTGTTATGGGTTCTATATAAGAGATAAAAATTCAAATTTGGTGACTTGATGTAATGGACAACTGTTATATTTTTCATTTTAATGGAGAATGAACGTGAAACAAACAGGGGCCAAGTGTCTAGTGAGTGTAATTTTGCTGTCTAAATAGACGATTGTCGCTGAGTTGGAACGTCCCATCATGCACAACTTTAAAAGGTTGAAGTCATGGGGTTGCCCCAAATAAAGGTGGGGACGTACAATGGGACAAATGAATAAAAGGTTGGGGACCCCTAGAGGAATTTGGCCAAAATTAATCAAGAAGTGAGAACTTGTATGCCTAATTTATCAAAAGTTGAGGATCGTTAGTGTAACATCTCGTCATCTCCAAAATGTATCTCATAATTACACAAATATCCTCTCCTCTTTTCTTTTCCGCCAAGCTTCGCTGCTCTAAAGTCTGGTAATTAATTGCATCTCTCTGTGGCTCTGCTAGCTCTCTCAACGGGTCTTCTATATTTTCACTATTTCCACATATAAATCGATATTACGTATCTGTGTATGTTTAAAATTCATAAGCTCTAAATGTATTTTTAATTTTAGCTCTTCATTGTCATAATAACATTTGATTTTTTCTTGATTAGATCAATTTAGAAGATTAGTTAGTGAATATGACAAGGGAAGCAATGGAGATGCCACCGAAGGGTGGGTTCAGCTTCGATTTGTGCAAGAGGAACGACATGCTTGTGAAGAAGGGTTTGAAGGAACCCTCATTTCTCAAGACTGGGACAACCATTGTGGGCTTAATTTTTAAGGTGATTCAGATTTTTTCTCTATGTTTTAATTTATTCTTCCCTTTATTTGTAATTAATTCGATTGATTGTGTTATGTATGATGTTGATGGAGTTGAAACTTTTGATTAACCATTGGAAGACTGTTAATTGGAATTCTCAGAGCTTTTTGGATGAGTTGTATTTGTTTTTTTACCTGGCATGATTGCTTTCACAATAGGTGCTTACTTTGATTTTTGTTCCTCTGGGCGGCATATATAGATTAATGTTTTTGAAGGTTTTGAGAATATTTTGCTCAGTTTTAGTTTGCTCGTGTTTAAAGGAATATAGTTGCATGTATGTTGGCGTTCACCTGTTGTAAAAAATTGTATTATCAACCAGCTATGCAATGCACCTCTAACGTATGCTTAAAAGAGTCTGGAACGCAGTTTGTCAAAGACAAAGATAGATATGTCTGTTGGTGGTCTGGGTGACTTGTGGGATCATTAGTGGGTGGGTATTGTTCAGGTACGTACACTCTTTAATGCGTTAAACTGAAACATGGGCCCTTACTCGTCATTTCGGAGGGAGGATGGTCGAATGTTGTTTATCTGAAGTAGAAGTGGTAGCATACTAGGTAATGCTGTACACTCTTATTGGCATGAATGCTGATCCCACATGGATATAATGATAACTTGGCGAAGTGTATATGATTTAATTGGGAATGACATTGTGTAGAATAGAAGATGTACATGGACTAAGAATATTTGAATGAGATAATTAGGGAATGGGAGCATAATTAATATCTTCTTCCCCCACCACGACTACAACAACAAGAAGAAGAAGAAGAAGAAGAAGAAGAGGAGGAGGATGTAATTGCAATGTAAGAGTATCTCCAAGAGACTCTCTAAATCTTCAAATACAAGGTGTTCTCCATTTTAGAGAGTCAGTGCTTAGAAATAAGCTCTAATAGACTCTATTTCATTAACTTTTTAAATAAAATATAAAATAGGACACTCTATGTTCTCTTCACTTAAATTATTCAAATCATACTTGAATTGACATGGACATATTAAAGAATATATGAAATAAAAGATGAGGAGAAATCAATAAAAGTTTCTTAAAAAAATAAAAATAAACAACCAAAACGTTGGAGTGTATAAAAAAATTTTAAATTTAATTTAGGTGTTGGAGAGCTAAACACATTTTCTAGTTTAAAAGTTAAAATAGGATCTCTCAAATATTGGCTCTGTAAAATTGATATTATCTAGTATCTAGAAAGTCTTTTGAAGATGTTCTAATTATTTGACTTAGGTGCTAAAACCAGTATTTTTACTGTGTATTTGTTATGGAATTCTATTGGATACTGTACAATGATTCTTTCTATTTTTATTTTTTTCTAGCCATTTGTTTTTAAGAACATTAATAATGTTTTTCGTATCTTTATTATGTTGACACTGATATTTTGTGGTATGTTAATAATCTTACATATACATGGAATAATGTTTTTGCAAATCAAGTAGAATAAAAATATAATTATGTCATGGTAATATTTGATGAGAGATGAATTGAAATCCCATCCTCCTTAACCCATTATTACTGTTTTTCCATCATGCTCTGGGTGTAGAATTCATTTGAATACATCTGTGAACAATCATCTAAGTGTCGCAAAGAACATGAATTCAAACCGTGAAATCTCAGTCATGTATTGGAATCCATATTTTTCATTTACTTGATTATGGATTGAAGAAGGAAGTACTGCCTGATAGATAAGCCAAGAATGAGGTGCAGATAAGACACATATTTCCTGCAATGATGAGATGAGCATCGGACACGTTATTTGCTTCCTGCAACTGTAAAGCCTGAATGAATCCATTCAGATGAGGTTACATTGAGAGGATAAATCGGGTTATTTCGCTGAAGCTTCCATAAAATAATTTTATGGCATCCTGAGAAGAGTAGATTAGTAACTTAAAAGGCATTAGCATAACTAGCTGGTCTTTTCCAGTACATTTATCACATTCTGTTCTGTATACACAATATTGCTTTCTTTAATATCTTGAATGACTCTTGGTTCATTAATCCTATATCACTAAAACACGAAGAGTGTTAGATGCTTGATTCTTGGTTCATTAATCCTATATCACTAAAACACGAAGAGTGTTAGATGCTCGATTAGCTCATCTTCTGTTAACGAACCACATTTTTTCAGGATGGTGTCATTCTTGGAGCAGACACACGAGCCACTGAAGGACCCATTGTTGCGGATAAGAATTGTGAGAAAATTCATTACATGGCCCCAAATATTTACTGCTGTGGAGCTGGGACTGCTGCTGATACAGAAGCTGTTACAGGTACCCATAATTTTTGTTCCTTGTCACAGTGCAATCAGCATGTTCCTTTCTATTTTATCTGTTTGTTTAGTGTAAATTTCATATTGCAATGGCTTTTTCTAGATATGGTCAGTTCCCAGCTGAAGCTACACCGTTATCACACTGGTCGTGAGTCCAGGGTCGTGACAGCTCTTTCACTGTTGAAGTCTCATCTTTTCAGGTGATCTCGTGTTCCATGCATTATCAATTTTCTTACATCAATTCTAGAAGGCCTATAATTTTGTTTCTCTATTAGCTACCAAGGATATGTCTCAGCTGCTTTGGTGCTAGGTGGAGTTGATGTCACAGGCCCACATTTACATACTGTGAGTTACTTTTGCATCTGGATCTATTCGAGTCTTATTATTTTTCATGGCTTGTGATTTGACTGAGAGGCTTGAGTGACCTAATTTTCAGATATATCCACATGGTTCAACTGACACTCTACCATTTGCCACAATGGGTTCTGGTTCCCTTGCTGCAATGGCTGTCTTTGAGTCAAAGTACCGTGAAGGACTGGCTGTATGTCATAGTGTTTTACTTATCTTAAATGCATTAAATTTCCTGATTTTTTGGTAAATCTTAAATGCTTCATGATAATTAGATAAATGAATTGACAGAGGGATGAAGGTGTGAAATTAGTATCTGAGGCCATATGTTCTGGCATATTCAATGACTTGGGAAGTGGAAGCAACGTAGATATCTGTGTAATAACCCAGGTTTGTTTTTTCTCTTTTGATGATCTATCTTTGATAGTTTTTCCTAGTACATCCACAGCATTTTAGTGCACCTTGGATCTAGTGAAGAGTGGCTTCAGCAATCCTGTTACTTTTGCCTTTCAGGGGGAGAAGGAGTACCTGAGAAACCACATGTTGCCGAATCCCCGCACCTATATTAGTGAGAAGGGTTATTCCTTTTCCAAGAAGACTGGTCAGTGTCTTCACTCTTATTTTTGAACACATAATTAGTTTGCTGGCTGGAAGTACACGAAGCATTTTTTTTATTAAAGCTTTCTTGCAATGTGGGCAATGCTTATAATTGCTTATAAGCTAGGTCAAACTCTACTTTTATCCACAAATTCAGTACTTTTACTAATTTTTACTCATTTATTATCCACATATTACGTTGAACCACAAGTTATACACACCTAAAAGCATTACTAAGCGAACACAAAATTGCTAATATTTGTATTCCTTCCAGAGGTATTGCGGACGAAGATTACTCAACTGAGAGAGATGGTGGAAGTGATTGAAGGAGGTGATGCAATGGAAGAATGAGCTTTTCTTTTCAAAATGTGGCGACGGCTTTTCTTATTGAACTCACCCTATTCTCGTGAGATATGGCCTTAGACAACCAACTTGGTTATTTTTATGCTATCCAACATAAAACTAAGTCTTAGTTTGAAACTTGTTTTCTGGTGGTGCATGATCAATATATTCGGGATCGCAACTTCCAGATCTCCCGTCTTATTTTTCGTCGTATAAACCTAGTACATGTATTGATCTATTGTGGTACATTATGAAAGCTTAGACGCTTCTCTACTCGGTCCTCATTGACTTTATTTAATTCTACCTTCTCTTATAAGAGCCGCTTTGGAATTTACTATTCATTCTTGTAACCCTCATTTTCACACTTGGTTGAGTTAAATGTTCCTGAACTGGTTTTGACTTTTGAATACAAAATATTTTTTTTTTTTGTATTCCCTCCTTATTTTATTTGTAGTAATATATTTTTAAATAATATTTTGTCACACTGTAGTTTTTTTTTTTTTTTTTATTTTAATTGGTCTCCAGAAATGACGCCGTTTTTTTATTTTACCTGTTGCTTACATGCTTTGAATCTGACACACAGTATTTTTTCTCCATTTTCTCACGATATCAACTATCGACCATATCTTATAATTTCATTAGTAATAATATTTTTTTAAATAATCTTTTATATAAAAGTTATTCTTTATTTCTAAAATTTTAAAAGTTATTTATAAGTAAAAAAATTAATTTAATTTATTTAAAAGTAATAAAAAATCTTATAATTGTAAAAGCTACTTATAGATAGAAAAAAATATTAACTTCAACATTTTTAAGTAAATATTAATAAAAAGATTACTCTATCTAGAATGTAAAAAGTTATTTATAAGAAAAAAAGCACTTCAATTTATTTAAAAGTAATAAAAAACTTATAATTGTAAAAGCTACTTATAGGTAAAAAAATATTAATCACTCCTTTAATAATTGTAAAAGCTACTTATTGTTGAAATATTGTGGTGTTAATGAAACAGAATTATCGCATACCGTATATGTAGTTTAGATGCTGGTTTAAGTATACCGTATATACAACTTACCGTATTTACAGCCTACCGTATTTGCAAGTAGTTTACCGAATATACAACTTACCGTATTTATAGCCTACCGTATTTACAAACAACTTACCATATTTGCACCTTACCGTATTTGTGTATATGACATAGTTCTCGAAATGAGTTTTGAGAGAATATAGAAGATTTATGCATTCGACTATCATACAATCGTCGATAAATTTATAAAGTTAACTTGTTATCCAAATTTTTAATTTTTTTAAATGATGTCTCTTTTGACATTAAAAAAACTTAAAAGTTTATTAGGAACATCAAAAATTATTGTCACGAAAAAATAATAAACAACAGTAAAATAATTGATTTTTTAAAGAAAAAATACGAGTTATATGCATTTTTTAACACACACGTTTAATGTACGTTTGACTATTTTCGATATTCATTTAGATCATTTGATGTGTTTATGATATAGTTTTCGAAATGAGTTTCGAGAGAATATAGAAGATTTATGATTGATTTTTATAAAAAAAATTAAATAAATCATGTAATGGAAAAAAATTGACACATGACAAAAAAAAAAAAAAAAAAAAAAAAGAAAACAAAAGAAAACAGCGGCGGGAAAAGAAAAAAAAAAAAAAAACAAAAAAAAGAAACCAATAGAGCAACTCCGCGCATCATGAAGGCTCTGTGATGCACGGAGTTGCTCTGTCGGCTTTTTTTTTTTTCCTTTTTATAATGATGCTCAGTGTCAAAATTTTTTTATTGGGTGATTGATATTTTTTTTGTCAATTTTTTTTCTTATTTTTTTATCATTAGATGATTTTTTTTTTTAAACCTATCACAAATCTTTATAAATCTTCTATATTCTCTTGAAGTTGATTTCAAGAACTATATAATAGATACATCGAATAATCTAAATGAATATCGAAAATAGTGAAACGTACATCAAACGTGTGTGTTAAAAAATGCGTATAACTCGTCCTTTTTTCTTTAAAAAAATTAATTATTTTATAAATGTTTATTATTTTTTCGCGACAATTTTCTTAATATAATTTCCTTTTTTCCTTGGTGAATGATATTTTTTTTAAACAAATCTATTTTACCCTTATATAAAGTAATATAGCTCGTGCATTGCACGGGTGGAAAACTAGTCTATATATAATTATCACCTCCATGGTTTATTAATTATTTGAAATGCAAGTGGTGATGGCAAAAACAAACCCCATTCGGTTCAGGTTTGGGTCAGGGGCGGGTCTCAACCCGCCCCATGAAGATAAAAAAAAAATTAAAAATAATTTTATTTTTGGCAAGCTTTTTAGTTCTTTTTCAAACTATAGAAAAGCTTAGGGCTTGTTCAATAGTGATTTTGAGAGTTGATTTTTTTATCATTAAAGAGAAAAATGGGTTCTACCCGTTAAAAAAGGACTCAAAAATGATAGTTGAAATAGTGAAATAACGGTCAAAAATTTGATTTTATGAAAAGAAAAATCAATATTAAATATGCACTTATAAACTTTATATAACCAACAATTTTAACTAAATCCAATCCCGGGTCCAAAAACTTGAGCTTTCGGAATCACAGGGCCGACCAAATCAATCAACATATAAATAAGGAAAAAATTCATTTATAAGGTATTAAGTATGAACCAATTTAATTTTTAGAGATTAAGTTTAAAATCTCAAATGTCAAGTGTTAATTCAATATTTTGATTTTAAATAACATTATTATTAAATTAAATTAATCTATCTGCTCCACCAAACCTCCATTCCCACCTCACACCACCCCCGCGCACCGGTCCATTAGCATCTACCCGTCGACGTCCACCCTCATAATTATCAGAATCCATAAAATCTACAAATCGTCAATGACTATTTCAGCATCGAATTGATCGTAGATTTTATGGACATCGGCACTGAGCATCATCGTATTAGAAGTAGAGATATAGGGAGAAACATAACAACCGTTGAATAACATTGATTGAGCATTCTCGACGACTGATTAGTGTTGGTGTAATTTAAATCTATTTTTTTTATTAGAAATTAAAAAACAATACCTGGTGAAATTTATAAAGTACTCACTGGACAAATAATTTTAATTCTCACCATCAAAATTTGGTAAATTGAATTTGTGACCAATTCGGAGAACTGTGATTGGAGATATCAATGTCATGTGAGTAGATCTCTAGAATTTGTGATTTGTGACCTATGCACTTTGACATATGATCTGTGACCCTAAGATCATTGGTTTATAACCAATTTTAATTGATCGGTGACATATGGATATTGATCTGTGACTAATTTTAATTGAACTATAACCTACTCATTATGACCTGTGACTTGTGGAAATTTATCTGTGGCCCACACATGGTGACCATAGATCTATGACCTATACAATATGACCTGAAAATCTGTAGAGTGTGACTTGTGACGTACAAACATGATCCATGACCAATTTTATTTGATTTGTGACCTGAGAATATTTATGTGACCAATGCACAATTACGTGTGACCTGGTACATCTGACTTGTAACTTGTCATCATTACAGGCACGATCAACAAATATCAACACAACACTTGACATACACTCCTTGAACATGCAACCACCGCCACTACAAGCACTACCACCTCAAAAAATAACCACCACATAACCACCTCAAAATCACCACAAACTACTCAAAACCCACCACAAAGGCCTTGAAAACTACCACAAAATCATCTCAAAAAATCACCACTAAATCGCTGCAAAACCACCACAAATATTACCGAAAACTACCACATAAACTGGTGCAAAACCACCACAAAAATGCTGCAACGGTGATCTGAGCCCTAATCGAAAAATTGGGAAAGTGGGTTCTTAAAAATTGATTTCCACTTCGTGCTTTCAAAGATAGTAGAGGAGAAATGGTAGAAGGAGTGATTGTAGAGCCAAGATAATAGAGGGAAAAAGTAGAGAGAGATATTAATAGATAGAAGGAAGAGACATGATAGGTTAAAAAGAGACGAAATTGGGATTGAATATGATTTTGGGAGGATTAGAGGGTGGCGTATAATTTAATTTTATAATATATTATTAGTATTAAATTATAGAATTGCCACCTGATTTTTGATTAAACAAACAATTTGATTTTTGAATGGTAATCTTCCTGTGTAATTTCCACTATAGATAGACAAGAAAAATCACCAAACAAAACCCAGTTTATGCACAGGACAACCCATCAAAACTCAGATGCCAATATTGCTCTAAAACGATGGTTGCATTAAAATTATATGAGAATATCTCCAAGGAGGGGGGGGGGGGGGATCTTCACTCTGAAAAGGGCAAATAGGATCAATGCAAAAACAAGAAGGAAGAAGGCCTCAGAAAATTCCAAGATATTTTTTCCCGTCTAAATCCCAATTCAGAGAAAGAGGATTAAAAAATGGAGACGCCTTTAGTTGGCTACAAGCAACCAAACCAAAATGCAAGTTACAATACTTAATTCTTGTCTTATTAAGTCTCGGTTTGGTCTTTATTATTTGAAATTTTAATGGTTAGAATAATTTTATTTTGAAGAATGTATGATTAAAAATGAAAAAAAGGGTTACGTGCAATATTATTTTATTGGAGGATCTATGGTTGATAAGGAGAGAGAGAGAAAAAAAAATCATAATTTTAATGAGGACAAAACAACGGCTAAAGATGTTTGATTAGTTAAAATTTGACATATCACTACAATTTTAAAATACCAAAATTTTGAAGGTAGCATGTTAAAAAATGTAACAAGGTTTGGTGGGGTTTTCACAAAGTTGGTTCAACATTATTAACAACATATTCGTTCTTGAGGCCCCACAAGTTTATTCCTAATTTTTTATTTACGTATTTGAAAAGAGTAATGCTATTTATATTGAAGATTATCGCTAGTTTTCATTATGAATAGCATTATTCATTTGAGAATAAGAGTAACTAAATTTTTCGGACTTTCAAGATAAGATTTTGCAACTAAATTTTCAAAGCAAATTGGGTAAGGCTTATATTTCTAAAATTGGAAGTACAGAACTCAATATTCATTGTCATTATTTTAATTGATATGTGGTGCATTGAAAATTAAATATGGATGATAATACATGTGTTTGTTAAATAGGAGTAAGGAGTGTTGAATTTTATATTCCTCAAGATTAGTCAGGCCAAACTTGGATACCTGAGTTATAAAAAAAAAAAAAAAAAAAGTATAAAATATGTAGAAGAAATATTTACTTATAACTTTCTCTCTGTAATTCTTCAATCCCATTTCCTCATTGATTTTCAATGACTATTCAAT